TTCACTCCTCCATGCCCCCTCCCGATTTCCGTATTTTCCCCCAAGCACACACTCAGCATTCTGTGCTGACTGAGCATGCTCAGGTCTCACTGGATTTCATTGGTTCTTCACGTCCTCATAGGGTTATCCTTTAAATGTTTTTGTACTTCTGCAAATCTGGCGGTTTCAATGAGGAACCAAAAGAGGTGCAGGAACTCCCACTTTTTGGGGATGGACAACCCTAAGTTGATGAGCTTTTTAAGGGGTGAGCCAAAGTTGTTGAGCTTCTTTTAGGGGAAAAACAATGAGGTGCCGGAATGCACCAAAGAGGTGCTGGAACTTGGTTCCTGTGAGTTCTGGCTAAAACAAACCCCGGGTTTTATTCTTTTTGTTATGTTTTATTCTTTATTCTTTATGTTATTCCAACAGTGTTTATACCACTTAATTACATTTGTCTATAAGCTGTGCACAATGAGCTCAACGAAAACAGAGATAAAGTGTGTGCTGCAATAAAGAAGCCTTGAACTGGGTGCCAGATGTTCAACAAGGAAGGGACCTGACCTCTCACATTATACAGAGTTTATAACCCACTTATTCTCAGCAGCCAGAAGCCTCATGGCCAGACACTGGAGAGACCTGTCAGGAGTAAACATGGACCAATGGTATCTAATTGTATGGGAAACGGCCTTACTAGAAAAGCTAACCAATAAACTAAAACTGACAGGGGGACAAATAGAAGAGGACTCCTTCACCCCAGTGTTGTTGTTGTTTAGTTGTTTAGTCATGTCTGACTCTTCGTGACCCCACGGACCAGAGCATGCCAGGCACTCCTGCAATATTGTTTTCCCTTACTGGCTTTCGCTGGAATCCGGAAGTCAGTTCTGTCCCTGGGCGGGGACAGATAGTCGTAACCAATGCCTAAGCAACCACTCACATTTATGTATTTTAATAAAGTTGTGGCCAAAATTATGCCAAAAACCTTAAACAAAATTTCTGTGTCAATTGTGATTTATTTGGGGGTGGCTTGGGGACCTCAACACGCAACGAATTGTCTCTGCCAGTCATTGACTCTGGCTTTACCTCCTGCCTCACCATTCCAATGTGCACCACCCAGTTCTTGCAGGAGTGGAAGACATAAAACCCCCAAAGAATTTGTTTCCAGGAGTTTGGGTCTGCAGAAGAAACCAGGCCGGGCATGTTCACGCACTGCATAAACAACTGCACTTCTAAGCAGTGACATCAGTGCTACGGCCTCCGCATTCGGCACAGCACTGCTACATGCATGTCACCAAAATGAGATTATATGTGCAGCAGCTTGAAGTAAGGTACGGCATTCACAGTTCATCAGTTTCTGCCATTTGTGTTAGACAGTATCAATTGCTAGATTCCACCAAACCCTAAGCTCATTTCTGTAATATTTATATTGTCAATTTGTCCACAACACTGGGGCACTAGAGCAGAACTCCCTGCGCTAGATGTTACTATATACTGAAAATTGCATATATATATTTTTATTCTTCGCTTAACTGGCAATGCCATTACACATGAAAGGAAGAACACTTTAGAAAACAAGAGCTCCGAAATAAATGCTGTGCTAAGAATAAAAAAATGAAAATGAAAAATGAAACCCTGAAAACATTTTTCATTGGAAAAGATTTTAAATCTTGGTTTCCTACTGAAAAATAGGATCAGGATTAAAGACAAGGCATTATTACAATTAGATTTGTGGAAGACAACCTTGCAATGTTGAACAGCAAATTCAGGAAAATATTATAGGTCAAATTTATATATTATTTTGCCTGAGGTGCTATAAAAATACCTATATAGAAGCACACTTTGTAATTTTTTTTCTTAATATTTAGCTCTTGTTTAGTCTAGGTCATTTTTTTCATTTAGCAAAAACTATACTTTACTCAAAAAATTGTGTGATTAATGCATTGATTTAGTTTCCCAATGTGCACTGCTGCTAGGCAGATTCCAATATTATTTATTTTTATTAGTTTATAATATGTCAATTTTTCTTGCTTATCTGTCAGCTCCCACTAAAATACATAAATCAAGGATATAGCAATGTGGACACTAACAAGGCATAATTATTGTAGGGCCTGTCCCCTTTTAAAGAAAAATACAATTACCTACCAGTATGTTGCTTAGATTAGGTCAGAATTTGCATAATCCTGACTCATATTTCCCTTAATAATTTTAACTTCAGACAATAGGTTCTGCAAATCTATATCCCTTTCTCCTCTTCCCAATTTTATTTTTCAGACTGAAATAATAAGTTCAGTCAAAACAAGATCATTATTGCAGTCTATCTCCACCAAAAACTTTAATTACTAAATGGTGTGTGTGTGTGTGTGTGTTTTGGATGAAGTCAGGATTTTTTTTTATATATAAGGCTGGACCTTTTAAGATCATCAACAACAACTGTCAATTAAGTCTGCCAAACTATTATTTATTAAAGTGAAATATATTCATTTTTTCCAGAGATAAATATTTAATAGAAAACAACTCTATCACTGCAGGAGATTAAAGAAGAATTCCACTCCACTGTAACCTTCATTAAAAAACAACAACAACAGTGGGATTTTATTTTATTTTTTGTCCTTGGCTGCATAACCAAATAGCAAACGATGAGATGAAAACAGTGGAAAAGTTTTTCACTCCAGCACAATAATAGCATGTGAAGCAGAGCCTTATGAAATCCCAAGTAGCTGAATATGCAATGAATGATCCTCTCTGAAATAAGGCAAAACCAGGGCTTGCATCCAGGGTTAAATAACTGTGATATATTTATAGAGGGCAAGGGATCATCATAAAATAAAGCAGCAAATAGTAAAGAAGTCAATGTAAAAGAGAGGCCAGGGATTTAGGGTATAGAGATCATAAATTTTCATCGATATAAACAGCCCATGTACCTCAGGAGCTAAGGTTTAGCTATAATTTCAGCGCTGACCTATAGGCTGCTGGTGCTCACAGTGCATGCACGATCAAGATGCCATCTCGGGAGGAGGAGGTGGGTGGGTGTGGGGAGGAAATGTAGCAGATCTGTGTGATTTACTCATTTAATCATCTCCAAATCCACCCCAAACACAGCAGCGCCGTGCTGAATATCAGTACTTGAGAGGATTTTATTGTCCCAGTAAATTACATTTAATTCTTACTACGGCGTCACGTATAAACAAGTATAGTGAAGGATTTCTTCCCCTGAGCATCCCTGTGCAGGGAAAGAGGAAGGAACCACTGCAAGGAGCACATAGATCTCTCGTGTCACTCACCAGCTCTGTATCCTTCAGATCACTCAAATACACCAGTCAGCTTTTAGCTGAAATGGATGCTTCCCGCACACCCTCCCACAAATATGCATACACAGCCTGCTTCTCCAAGATACCATTTTCATATTAATAATAATTAATAGCAATAATGATAATAAAGGATGATGGCATCCACAGGAACCACTGATGCTTTTAGCCGGGGCCTAATTGCCCTTAAAGAGAATTCTAAATGCTTTCCAAATGACTCAAATGATCTGGCTAAACAGCTTGCTTGCTCCTTTCTATTAGTTTGAGTTGGAAAACATTGTGTCAGCACTAAGTGAGCTTTTTGTTCTCATCTCCATCCTAATGGACAATCAGTTTGTAGAAGACACCTCACCCACGTACTTATCTAAGAAGGAGATAGTTAATGGTCAGAGGTGTGGCGTGGGTGGGGGGGGGAGAAGAGAGAGAGATGTTTCAGCCCCCGCTGGAAGTAAACGAAGATTTTGAAGAGGAAGGTTGTATTGACAGCCTGTTATGGACAAGACATTACGAGCTACACAACTACCAAATTGACACATCCCTTTTGTTGTCTGCAGTCTTTACAGTGTATTTCCAGCCCGGAAAAAACAAATTTCTGCATGATTGCTGCGACGTTTGCGAGCCTCGCTGGTAGCTGCAAATAAAATCAAGGGATAGAGAAATGCTTGTTGAGGACTTTGGGGGCCTGGTGCTATAACCCCTGTCCAAGAGAGTAATTCTTGCTCATATTAGTCCTATTGATTTCACCAAGCCCACTCAAGTAAATAAGAACTGGCCCCCTGAGAAGAGGCTGTAGGGGAATAATTCAAACAAGCACCCACCGACGCTAACAATCCCTCAAGCCATGTTTATCATTCCGTAAGCTTTGCTGAGCCCTTCAGAGTTCATGCAAAAACACACACACGACGCTCTACAAATTCCAATGAGATAATTGACTTTTTTTAAAAAAAAAAGTCGGAGAGGGGGAGGGGAGCAAATGTACAGGTGCTTGTTTTCAAATGTAATGTCTGGAAAAGTAGCAAAAGGCAGCTGTCCCTGAGTTTTCCGGAAAAGGGTTCAGTTCTGTGGCCACTAGGTTGTGCTGTTGTATAGAGAACAGGCATTTGGGGTTTTTTTGCCTCCTGCATAAGAATAGTTTCACCCTGTGCAGAATCTTGTAAATACTGTTTTGCATTTTTCACTAACAACAGAAGTATACAAGCCAGAGTGAGAGAAGGAGAGAGAGTGAGACTGTCATTTGCTTCCTCCTCAAAGCCAGGTTAGCCATTTTTGTGCTCTGCGGAGGGTACCCTGAAGATACCTACCTTGCCATATAGAGTGTGTGTTTATGTGCCACTAAGACCATGCACTTCCCTTTCACAAAGCCTCAGCTTGATATGTTTGTTCTGAGAGGCCTTTCCAAAGCTCTTATGGGCTTTCTGAAGTTAAAGGCAGAATTTGCCTCCCTTTCCCGATTTGGCGCCGTACTTTCTGCGGCCTGCACAATAGACGTTATTGTTGACCATGGTGATGTGCAAAGTGCTTTACAATTCTTACTTCATTTATCACAGCAACACAGTGAGATGGCCCAAGGTGAGAAACCCTTCTGAGTGAGGCCTCCCACCTGCAAACCCAAACCACGGAACCAAATGGGCATTCTTAGTATAAAATGCTGTTTTCACATTTGAGATCAAAGAATCAGAGAATCTGAAGGGACCCTGAGGATCATCTAGTCTATGTAGCTGTCCCTCACGGGGATCAAACCTGCAACCTTGGTATTATCAGCACCACACTCTAACCAACTAAGCTATCCAGGATGTGAATCATCATTAAGCACAATAGTCCCCCTACATGTGCAATACATATGGAACATACACAAAGACTTTTTGTTGCTTATGTGTTTGAAAAACTTAATTGCTTTTCTCTTTACATGTTTTTCTTTTCCATTCCCACCGTCCAGCAAAAAAAAACAAAACAAAAACAAAAAAACCTTTCAAAATAATGTGGTTTCAATTTGGGCAATATGCTGATGTAACCTATTTGACATCATGCAAGCTCTCCTGAAAGAGGCTTCATTCTGTATATATCCAGTTGGTTTTCTAACATACTTCTCCTCCTCATATGAACTGTGTTTTATTAAGCAAATGACTTACAGGTATTTTGTGCATTTGTGTGTTTTAAGAAGAACAATCCATTCCCCCTCCCCTGCTCGTCTTTGGTGTAAATCTTTCTATATTTTGCTCTATGGATTAACACCTTCCTCATCCTTCCTACTCTTTGGTAAGCTGAGACAGTTATAATGAGGAGCAGAGCCAGGGGCTCTCTCCATACCAAAGCTGTCGGGGAGAATAAGGTCATCTCAAAAGACTTGAGTCTGCAATTGGTTAGCTTAGTTGGCCTGGTATAAGACTTACATTTGGGAACTATCAGCCTCAGGTTTTGAATCTTTCAGTAACAAATTCTTTGCCTGTTAATTAATTTCTGACTGCTGTTGTAGAATACAAGGACCCTTTCCCCCAAAGAGTACACAGATTAAAAAACAACAACCAATTGTACTGATTATGAGAGCACAAATTGCATATAATCAACCCATAACAGAAAGCTTGATATTACCAACAATGATGTAATCTAAGAAACAATAAGAGATATAAAAATGTGTAGTCCAGCTTTCGTTTTAACACTCAGTTGCTTAAATCTTTTGATTCATTTTAAGGGAACTATAAATCACTGACAAAATTCAAGTGCTTTCTCTACTAAAGCTGTGAGTAAGTCACAGATTCCCTCTCTAAATAAGGTACACTGAAATCTCAATTGGGGATATCTATATCTGAATGACATGAGAAACGAAGTCCCAAAACAGAACACCAGTTGTACAAATTCTATCCAGCAATTAGAATTGTGAATGCAGAATTTGAAGATTAGTACAGATTGTGGAACCCAGCACTTTTCATGGGTGCCATTCTCAACCCTTCCTCTCTTACGCATGTGTCTTATGAATAAAATGTCTGCAACATACAGTATATGTACTTACAGCAGGGATTCATAAGTTACTTTTACCGAAAACTGCAAGCATCTGTTTCTATTGAACATTGCCATATGAGGAAAGAGCAGTGGTGGATGGTAGAGCACTGCCTCTCACCTGATCTCAATTCGCTTGCTTCACTGCTGATTACTGGGAGGTAGAGGGGAAAGGGCAAGGCTGTGGAGAGGTTGGCATAGTGCAAATGCATCAGCAGGAGCCCAGAATTGGCTCTGTTTTCACCATGCTGACCTCCTCACCCTGTCACCCTTCCCCTTCTCCTCATGGTAAGCAGTAGCAATGTGACTGAATGGAGGTCAGGTGAATGGCGGTGCCCCACAATGCCATCTGTTACTAGGAAAGAGCACATGACACTCTTGTGGTCCACTCTTGTAGATTGTGGTGACAGAAGAAGCATGGAGATTATTAACTCAACACAGGGTTGCTGAGTGGTTAGCTGCACCAAGAATGTGTGACTGACAGTATGACCCACACCTGATATTATAGGGTTGCCATATTTAAAACAGTGAAAATCCCAACAGAAACATCCAGATTTTTCCAGACATTTTACTAGTTTTCGCCTGGACGCTGGTGCCAACTGAAGTATTCCGTATATGTCTGGGAAATCCCTATGATACGTTGCAACCTCCATGCCCCCAATGCTACCCCCAACACCCTCAGCTCTGCCCCACAGCCCCAAGAGCAGCACTCAGTAGTGGATGCAGCTAACCAACTCAGGAGTCATTGTGTATTTTTTTTATAAGAACTTAATCGGTTCTGAATGACTATGATCTGAATGTCTGAAGAATATTGGCACATTAACCAGAAGTTGAGAGGAAGAGCCATGCTGTGCTATAATACAGCATTACTGGACACAAGAGGGAATGTTTATTTGTTTATATACCATCCCTCATCTGCAGATCCCAGGGCAGTTCACAACACAACAGTACAAGATAAAAAAGCACAAAATACATAATAAAAACAAGAACAGAACAGAACAGAACAATAAGCCCCTTTCCCCACCACACACAAACACATTGAAAAGCATGATAATCAGCAAAAGGCCTGGTTGAAAAGAAACATTTTTGCCTGGCGCCTAAAGGTGTATAATGAAGGCACTGGCCAACTCTCCCTGTAGAGAACATTCCACAAATGAGGATGCATAGGGGTATTTGATACCTATGGCTGCAAAGAAGGAATTGATCTAATTCAGGGAGCTTGTGTGAAGAATCAAAGTGGGACCTTCTGCACTTTTAATCAATATGTGGTTAATATAGTTTTCCCCAATTGAAAACTGTTATTTGAGCCTGAGAGCTTAATTTAGGTGCTCTGTGACAAGAACACATAAAATCTCCATATTTATTTTAAATTGTATTCATATTGCTTATTTTATTTCTTATTATGTACAGTGGTATTTCTACTTACAGACACAATCTGTTCCGGGGTGCCATTCACACCCTGAAAAGTCCATAAGTAGAGCACCGCTTCTGTGCATGCGCGTGATGCGATAGAGCGCTTCTGCACATGTGTGAAGCGGCGAACCCGGAAGTAAACACTTCTGGGTTTGCCGCGTTCATAACCAGAAAAAACGCAATGTGAAGCAAACACAACTCAAGGTATGACTGTATTTCAGCTTATAATTTATGGAATGCAAATGGCAATACAACAAAATACAACATAAGACGTAAAAGCGGTTTCCAGCATGACAAATTTCAGTTGCTACAACTGGCAGAAAAATCACCACATGGTCCACCAAGCCTAATAGCAATTTTCAAGTGGTCCATTGTGGTAGTGGTGGGATGTTGGGAACCACTGATATAACAGAAATTTAGACCACTGCAAGAATGGTGTGTGCTAAAACAATGGCATTAATGGCGTCATAAGGAGAAGCAAGAGATTGGGGGAGCCCCTCCCACTCAGCTGGGTTCCAGCTGAGAAGCATCCAATGTCCCAGCCAAAAGGCCAGCTTTAGACTGCTGAAAGTGCAGCACATCCCACATACACAACATTAACATTAACCAAATAGAAGAATTTGTGAGCCTATATAAACCTAGCCTCTTGATTACTCCAAGTAACAAATGAGATTTCTTCCCCCTGTGGTTTGCTCATCTTTGGCTAAAACACTATTCGTCCTGACCTTTAAAAGAAAATCCATCACTAACAATGTATTGGGGGGGACATCACTGCTAAGCATGTAATTGCTATTAGTGTGGATAGCAGCAAATATGTTCAGTGCCAAATCTTTCTTTCTCCTTAAGTGTATGAATAAAAGGAGGGGGGAGTATTTGTGCAAAGCGGACAAAAGATAGACATGACTAATTATGTCACCATTATCAAAAGAGATGATCTATCTTCCTATCTTTATCCAGAATTCCTCTTGGCTGAAATTAGTCGTATTAATATTAGTAGTAATAACGATGATAATGTTCACTATTTCAATTTTTGTTTTAGCGGAGACAATAAACAAATGGATGGGTGGGAAATTAGCCTAGGGAACTTTCGATTTCTAATGCAGACACATACATATTACTTGTTAGGCAGCTGAGGAAATTTAACCTGTGTGACTTTTCCTCACAGACATCCTCAGACAAGCTTATTTCAGTCTCATTTTTGCTCCACATTGTTCGTAGGATGTGGCCACCGTTTCTCATTAACATTCAAGGGGGTATGGGGCTGTGTAGAGACTGCTGTGTATATTATGCATACAAAATCATTGTTCAAAAAGATTTCTACTGCCTATTCCCTTGTAACACCTCTGTACTTGAAATGTAGTGTGCCTGTACCAATCAGAAAATGGAGTGATCATAACCTCTTTGCTTACATTGAAGGGAACTAAAAAAAAGAAGAATTCTCGACTGTCATATCAATGGGCTAAAATCCTTCTTTACTGAGCAGGCTCAAAATATTTTAAAAATGGTAAACACTAACCATTAGATGCAAGTTATGTATGCTTTGCAGAGCTTTAAAGGCAGACCGCTTCAGCCGTGCAGGTGCCTGTGTGGGGGTCTTCAGCAACTTGGGTAACCAAGTCAGTCAAAAGAATGGCTCCAAGAAGTACATGGGGAAGTTCATATATTTTTAAATTCCTAGATTATACCAATGATATGCTGATACATTCGGAGGCAGCAGTGCCTGGAATACATATTAAGAGTATCACTACTGGCACAAAAGGGACACATCATTCCCATGCTCTGGTGATGGATGCTAAATCCCCCCACTGCATCAATAACTGTTGGCACTGCTATGCCATTATGATGCCTTTTAATATGATACTTTTACATTTTTACAAAATGCTTCCTAGCAGTTTCGATTATGCCCACCCCCACAACAGCCCTGGGTCTGCATAAGCCCCCAAGATTTCTCTTGCAACTGCGCAATTTTATTTTTTTTAAAAAAGATTCAAATCTGTTTTGAGTTGTTCTGTGTTCTCTCCACTGAGCTGCTCTGTATAAAACCAAGCTCTGTGTTTGTGACTCACTATAATGGGAAATCTAAAAATGGCTCCATAATCCATTATGAAGGTTTTGTCTCTTGGTTTTCCTTACCTTAAAACGATTAAGAGGAGGCTGAGTGGTGTGAATTTCTGCTCGTACTTTTTTAAAAACTGCAGCTTCACTCCGACTTTTCCTTTCTGGTGCTCGTGTCCTCTGAGAGGTCTTAAAATGAAAGGCTGTTTTGAGATGTGACATATTTTTTAAATTGTTAAAGTAGTACAATGTATGGGTTTTTTTTTGTTTTTAAAAGCTAAAGATGAAGCTTTTGATTTAAGCAAAATTTGTTGCTACTTTGATTTA